ATAACGTTACGTTAATTTAATAATAAAGTAAATTCGTTTGTATTTAATTGCGAAAACACTGACAACTGTTTAATGTTATTAGAAAAGCGTATTGGAGAAGTTTTCCGTAACATATTGTAGGTTGTTGTTGGGGTTTTGGTTGTCATGGCTGCTGTCTATTATTGATTACTTATTTACTCTGTTTTTGTCTTAAGCAGGGATGTTCTGATCTGTTTCTTTCCCTCGTTATACAGCTACAAAGTCCACACTTAGTCTAAAAGCTTACATTTAAATTAGTAAAGCAAATTAAAAAGGCTTCACAGCTCATCTGCTTTGCATTTAGAAAGTATAACCCAACGTACATTGTAGTTTGTATACTTTGTGGCATATCCATGGAGAACATAATGTTACTGTTGAGCTGTTGTGACTAAAACTAGTTCAGCCTAATTAACAACTCTGCAGCCAGTCTTACCTTGTTGAAGAAAATCGTGCTCCTACTTATCGTTAACTTTAATTGCTATTATTTCTAATGTATGTCACCCAGTGTGTTAGGAAAGGGTTCTTGTGCTTTTAATATAATGCAATAGGGCTTTTTAAACTGGGTCTGGTCAGTGGATCGGGCTTTATGTAGCTGATAAGATTTTTGAATGCCTGAATTATCCCTGATCCAAGTTATGCAAATCAACCCGGGACATCCCTAGTCTTAAGAGAATATGAATATGCTTTTCTATATATACACTCATTCTTTTTGTATTGGTCTTCACCTAATCCTCCATAATCCACATTGCACTGGTGTGTGACTGACTAGTACAGTAACAGGGGGATCACAGAGTGGTGAACCACCATGTTAGACGGTGGTCAGTTTGTGGAGGCCCTGGGCCGTCTAGGTTATCCTGGTGCATCATCGCTGAAGGCCTCGGAGTTTGACTGGCTGTTTGACTGCGCCCCGGAGAACCTTCACTTCTTGCGCTTCGTCTGTCGGACCCTCAGCCGGAGCAATGTTCTCACCACGGAGGAGGCACGTGCTTTTCATGAGCTACGGAAGTCTGGCAAACCAATCTTGGACGAAGCATCCTTGGGCGAGGTCCTAAAAACCATCGGACCTTCAGATGGGAGCAATACAAACGTCTTAGGACCGTCTTCTTCATCTTCATCCTCAGTGTTTGCAGCAGAGGGCGATGTGGCCATAGAGGACTTGGAGGCAGAGCTCCAGGCACTGCGTAAAGAGAAAGAGCTGAAGCAAAAACGCTATAACAGGTTGCAGCTTGTGGCCACCTCCCGTGCAGACGTTGACCTGCGACTCACTGTGGAGCTGGAGAGTGCTGCATGTAAGCTAAAGGAGGCCAGTGCTTCCATTGGAGCGGAGAATGCTGATACCAACGCTGTGTTACAAAACCTAACAGATGAGGTGAACAATCTGGCTTCATATCTCCCAGTTCAGCCAGAAGCAAAGCAAAAAGGAAAGGTGGCTCCCTTAAACCCTTCTATCTCCAAAAGCCCCACCGTCCTCCTGTCTCAGCTGTCTTTGGGTCCCTACCTGCATCAAGAGGAGCTCAACACTAAAACACTGACTGCCTTCACTCAGAAGCATTTCTTCCAGGGCATCTCTGATATTGTTGAGACTTCTTGCTCTGAGCGCTTCCAGGTCCTTGACCTAAGTTCTTGTGAAGATAGAGAGGAGGAAGAGAATGAGCACAAGGGGAGAGACAGGGAGGAGCGAGTGGTGGAGCGCAGGAGGACAGAGATGGGTAGACTTCAGTGGTCTCATATTGTGGCCCAGCACCAACTGATGAAGGCCACGGCAGAGGAGAAGAGTCTCATGGCTGGCCTGGACTGGCTCTCTGAGGAGTCCTCTCATACCAAGGTAAAGCAGATATTTATGGTGTTATTTATTATATTGGCTCTTTTAAAACAGTATCACTGTTCTCTTAGTGTGTTCAGTAATTACGATTATGGCATCCTTCCCTCAAATTCTCCCTCATATCTATCTCTTCACACTACCAGAGCATTTCCACCTCCTCCTCACTGCATGTCCGTGAGGTTGTGTCCAGGAAGGAGCTGCAGGCAGTGGAGGCTGAGCTGGAGGCTTTGCTGCATGGACCAGTACCTGCTGCCCTTAGAGAGTCAGCCAGGCTGCTTAATGTGCCAGTAGTGAAGGGAGACCTCGCTCTGCAACTGGCCCGGCAGGACTACTACACCTCCAGACAGGATCAGGTTGGTTGATGATATAAGCCATTTCAATGAGATACATGGTGCCTAATAATAACATAAACATAATAATTGTATACCTTTGTTCTGTTGCTTAAGAGTGACCACTTACTGAATAGATATAAGAATGAATCACAGATATAAGTCACGATGGTGATCCCTGTGTCGACCCTCAGCTATATAATCTGAATCATGCTAAATACATGTCGCTATAAGACAGTGTGGAAATAAGAATCAACAGCTAAAGTAAAATTAAATGTACATTTTTCCTCCAAGGTACGAGACTACCTACTCCGCCAGAAAGCGTCCTTTGACCTGGTGCACCTGGCTCAGGAGATGGAGTTGAGGAGGTGGAGGACGTGTCTTAAGCAGCTGGTAGACATAAACAGCACACTGGTCAAGGAAAGTGAAGCAGCAACCCTCAGAATTGAGTCCCTGGCGCATCCTGACCTTGCTATCAACCCCAGGCCCAACCCTATCATCAGCTGCAAGGACGCAGCCTTCAGCAGGTAAGAAGACTCTGTGTGTACCACATACCTGTTTTTAGAGCTGAAATTGTGCAGAGCTATTTTTAAAATGACTTTCAACATTTCAGAAGCACGTATGTTGTCACTTTGGAATTTAATTCAGTGTTGTATGCAACTCTTTCCTCAGACTGCTCCAGATCCTTGACCACGATTCAGACCACGGTCGATCGGAGCCTTTTCGGACATATGAAGCATTGGACCAGGTTTCCCGTGACCTCGCAGGAAACCTCCAGGTGACCCGAGACGCTCTAGCTGGTGCTGGCCGTGAGCAGTACTACACAGCTGCTCGTCTGTATGGCGACTGTGAGGCTCTCCACAGGGCAATGTACACAGTGCTCCAGCAGCTGGTCTTAGGGCCACAGGTACGTCCAACGGCCATCACTGACCAGGAGCTGCTCTGTCCCAGTGCACAGGTGGGTTTGTTTCCTTTTATTTTAAGCACAGTCATCTTGGTCAACCATACAGTGTGCTTTTCAGAAGCAATGCTTAATGTGAGTCAGCTGATTTTTAATATACTCGTCACTATTGGTGAGGGAAGCTGGTAGCACAATATTTTTCTTTTGCACATTTTTCATATATATCACAATGTCAAGACACATATGTTGGGTTTAAATCACTGCATGATAAGTGGCTCAAGCTTAACACAACACAAGTTTTAGTATCAGGAACAGTGTTGTGTGTCTTTGTCTGCTGACCTGGTCTGCTTGCTTGAGAATATTCATATTTTCCTCCTCAACATCTCAAGGGTTTTGCATGAATAGATTTCAAATTTGCACACACACACACACACACACACACAATCAATATTTTTTCTTCAGTAGGAACAGATTATGTTTTTAATTAGAGCTGTAACAAGTAGTTAATTACGGTGATTGAAAGAAAATTAATTTGGCAACTGTTTGGATAATTGATCAATCTTTTAATCATTTTTTAAGTAAAATGCCACTTGCTGGTTCCAACTTCTCAAATGTGAGGATGCTGCCTTTATTATCATATCATAGTAAATAGTGTCGGGTGGACAAAACAAGCAATTTGTAGATGTCACTTTGGGCTCTAATTGTGATGAGAAATGTCATAAATTAAACTATTAGTCAGTTGTTGCAGTCATTGAAGCTACGTGTCAACAGTGTCACTTTTCTCAACCACTACATAGAATGATACACAGCATATAATGGTGCTAAATATGCTGTCATTTTCGCATCTTTTTACCAGTGTGCAGTAAAATGAGAACACAATGCTTACACTGGGATCGCTCTAGGGATTAGCTGATCAAATGAGATTTTAAAACATGGAGCACCTTGATGGACAAATTTGCATAAACACACTAATGTTTTATAAAACGTTTATAAATTACAGTTATTTGAGATGTGAACAGAAATATTTGCTAGCATTAATTATGTTGATAAATGATCTTATTTAAATAACCACGTTCATGTGTGTGCTAATTTAGCCTGGTGCTATTTCGTTTTTTTGCTCATCCTCATCCCTCTTTTGTCTCTACAGGAGCTGACGTTGAAGCTGGTGGAAGCTGAGACTCAGCTGCAGAGTTTGCAGCATGTAATGCAAGAAATCATGGGGGAGGTTAAAGCCAAGCGTTCTCAGCTGGAGCGCAATGCCCTCCTCAGGCGGGAGAGGGAATTATACATCTACTTCCACTTGGATGCTCGACTACTGCAGAAAGTTGTGGAAGATCTGGAGGGCAAAATGGCTGCGAAGAAAGGGCAGCAGTGAAACCTGCCAGAATCAATGAGGGGCGCTTATAACCAGCTCAATCTCAACCTGCAGTTTCTTTGCCAAGGGAGTCGACCTGTGTTATAGTTTGAAGATGATCTGATCATTACACTCTGTGCTTTCAGTGCAGGAGGTTTACTAAACAAGTACAGAATCTGGACCTCCACTTGGTTTATGCAGGAGATGGAGATCAATCCCTTTAGTCTTCATTGGTTCATCTTTGGGATAGCACTCAACTTGGGATAAAGTTTGGTTGTACCAGAGCAGTAATGCTGATATGATTGGGATTCATTTGAGTATATTAACAATTTTAACATGACCTATACTATACATGAAGAATTGTTAGAATTTAGTGTATTGTTCTGTCTTGTGATGTCCTAAAATGTCCTTGTTTAAATAAAGTAAGATGTTATCTTTATAGAGTTTAAGTTGTGAAGGTTTTTTTTAATTTAATGTTATTGAAGTTTATTTCTGCAGGGTTAACAGCATGCTTGTTACAGTCTGCTCTGCAAAAAACCCTAGACACATTATTGGATGGGTTTCTGAGATGTTTAAACCGGATCAATGTGTAAATGACCTAACTCTCCCCTTTGTCCTGTTTAGGCCAATGACAGTTGAAGAATAAAGATCCTCAGATAGATAGAAAGAAAGAGTAGCAGGCTCTCTGACAGACAGGAGATGGAGCAGTCTAGCAGCAGATTGTACTCAGGACCTCTGTCCCAGGCGGCCCAGAAAATCCTGGCTGTTTTGCGGGCCCAGAATCCACTTGCAAGCAGACGCAACACCAGCTACTACAATCACAGGCAAAGTTAGTCAGGGCAAAAGCACAGAAAATCTTACTTAAGTTTGTCAAGTGAACTGCTTTCTTGTAGTTTGCTTTGTTGATGTTCCTAACATTTCTGCTTCTAAACTGCTGAACAGGCTGTCATCAGAAATTTAATCCCTTTTGTAAATTAATATTATCTACTCAATATGTTTGTTTGGCATTGTTAAAACCAGTAGTAGTATTGTTGATGTTTGTGATGATTGTAAAATATTGGTAGAAAGTGTTGAATGTTGCTCATGGATTCTGTATGTTATTTTTAGCCTTTTGTAGGTGTTGTGGAGTTCAGTAATTTGACAAGCCTACTTGATAATTCACAATGACATACAGTACTGCTTCACAGAACCTGCATTTGGTTTAATTATCATTATGGTTTCTGGTTTCTACACATTAAATCTTGTGTATTAGAAAATTTGCCCATTCACCAGTCTAAAACAAGGAGACTAGATGTAGATTGTTTTTTGCTGCTCAGGCATTGTATTAGAGTTGTTTAATACTTTATATATTTAGTTTCTTTGTTGTTCCCAGAGAGTTTATGGTTTTCTCCTTTGTTGTGTATGTGGTAGTGGAGAGGTATTATGGCAGCCAGAGGGAGTCCTTGGCTCAGAGCAGCTGGAGCATGAGTCAGGAGGAGAGCAGAAACAGAAACACAGACCGGTAAGACAGATTAAGTAGAGGCTACGCACAGATATCAAAACATGCACTTATGTTTAGTTGGAGTATCATTTTATTAATATCAATCACATTATTTAAATTAGATTGGTGCAGAAACTTACACAGCAATCACCAGCAGTTTAATACAGTATATTAATACAAGTTAATATTTACAACTTAAGTAAATGAAGCAAGATTTTATATTCTCATGCAATATTTAATTTTAAACCTTAATGTACTCAATGTGAAACAGAAAAAGTAAAATAAATCAATTTGCCAATGTTCTGGTTCACGCCATCGTCCAGGCCTCTGGTGTCCTCCTTTTCCACCTCCGACCATGACTCCTCCAACCAGTGGCAGAGCTGTCAGACCTCGGCCTGCTATCAGTCCTTGCAGACACCAAGCTGCTCCCTGTCATCACAGGCCTCCTCCTGCTGGGATCCCTCACTCCAAAGGCAGTCTGCTCAGACAGAAGCCTATTATCAGTGCTCACAGATTTATTCCCAAAGAAAGTGCTCCAAACCCCCTACTTACCAGTCCAACCAGGCTCCATTTTTGACTCAGCATGAGGTGACTGAGAAGACAGCCGTATCTTTCTCCCATATAGACAGATACACCTTGTCTACCCAAACACCGGAGAGACTTTTTGAACATCAAGCAACACCATGGAGAAAGTAAGTAGCGAGGGGGAGAATGGGGATTGTGTTTTATGGTTATTATCATAGTTAAATGTCTTAATATATGTATACTTATAACACGCTTGAAAGTATTTTGTGTGTTCAGAGATTTCCACGGTTTAAGAAGACATTTAGCTTTGGTTAATATAAAGGAAAGCAGTCTGAAGTTCAGCATGTATTTATGATCTTCTGTGGCTGGTTTTGTGAGTGAAAAGCTTTCGTAATAAATTTAGCACAGTCTGTCTCTTCACTCTCATAGCTCCACTGAAGAAATCAGGCCGTCTTTCATCCACATTCTTTCTCCAGACGACGGGGTTTTTGATGAGGTATTATTCCCCACAATGGAACACCCTAATACCCATGAAGAGGAGCCTTCTCTGGCTTACCACCCAGTTTCATCCTGCCTTAAATTAAGTGAAGAGACAGATGATAACACACCAGGTGCACAGAAAGAAAAGAAAGTTACAGAGAGTTGGAACATCCCCAGAAATGAACTTGAAGACACTGTGTGTATAGACAGTCAAACAAAGTGGAAACTTCCTCCATCTTATCCCACTGAAGAGGCAATTAGTGGAGGAGAAGATAGAGGCACATTGTGTCAGCAACCAGAGTCGGAAACTTTAAAAGCTGGAATAATTAATCTCCTTCCCAGTGACTGTGTAACCGCACAGGAGACCTGCTGTAATGCATGTTCACTCAAGCCAATGAGAAATCTAGTTGGGGAGGAAGGGGTAGATCTCATAGTGGATTCAGAACGTATGACTGAGGCAGGTACAGGACAAATGTCTAACACAGAGCATGAAATGCAGGATGGAGTAAATGGAGTTATGTGGAAAGAGAGAGGACATGTGGATTCAGCCCTGCTAGATGAGACAGGCTCAATCAGAGACATGGGAGGTATTCAGCTCTTGGGAACCAGTAAGAACAGTAGTTTGGAGAAGAATTTTAACCTGTTATTTACAACCAATATGGACAAAATCTTTGACTGCGATAATGAAGGAGAAAAACTTGGGGAGAGAGGAGAGAATTACTTTGAGTATAGAGTTAATACACCGGAAAGCAAGGAAGTTGAGCATCCACCTGGCAGTGTGAGTAAAGAGATGTCAGTGGGATGTCATGCTGGTAGTCCAATAAAGATCTCATTAGCTTTAGAAAGGAGAGACAACAGGGTGAGCCTCTGCCAAGCGAAAAACCCTCAGGACAGGAAGCACCACACAGAAAACTCACTGGTGCAGTGTGAGACCAAATTAGTCCAGGGTGACAACACTGCCGATAACCTGGAGGGAACCACAGACGAAAGAATAGATGTGATGGAGGTCAGATTACAAGTGGAACCAGAGAACAGGACAAAGGCAGGCACTGACACAAGCACCGAAGATAAGATGGAGACAGAATTAAACCTTTGTTCTGACATCCAAAGAGAGAAAACAAGTGAGACAGATGATAGAGAAGTCAGTGAGTTACCGGAAAGAGAAACTGAGTCAGGAGAGAGGGGGAGAGACAATGATGAGTCAGTGATGCCACCTGTGCACAGTGATGAGTGTACATCTACAGGTAAGTACATGATGGGCCTCATTTGCAAGAAATCTGTGTCATATTGTCTTTGATTTCTTTTAGGAGACTATCTTTAACTTGTACATGTAGTATTTAGTATTAATTCAAGGCAACAGACATACCTCCAGTTTATGAGTGAAACTAAAAATAATACAGAAAATATGTATAAATGATTGTAGTGTTAAGATTAGGTCATCATGCATCTCAGCTTTGAACGTGGTGGTGACTGCTGATGAGTCTTGTGCAAATGTGACTCAACTGTCATCAAATATGCAGTTTGCAGTATTTACCACTAGAGTGTGCTACAACACTTTTCTATATATGCACTTTGGTACATAACTGAATTTTTGTTGTCAGCCAACCACACTAAGAATTCACTGAGCCATTGGGGCTCTTAAAACAACAAGCAGCTTTAATGTTACTTATTTAAATGGAAGACTGATGTTAACAAAAAAGCTACAATTCTTATCTTGGTGTCAATGTTAGAGTATTGGGGATGTATTACATTAATTTGGAGGAGTTTTAGATGGTGGGGACTGTTCTAGGGTGACAGTTACTAGTTTAGGAAGACAGTACTCAGGGATATGAAAGTATTTCAAGGGGTGTCAAACTCTTGGTGGTAGCTTCCAGCCAGCTTTCTTTCATCGGAGTGGTGGCGATGACAGAGCAGTGCTGAGGCGACTCAGCACTGACAAGGGATGTTGTGTGCCTGCTCACATTACAGCCGCAGGAAGGGAGCTTGAGTCTCAGCTGATGAGACAATGCTGAGTCAACTCATACACACGCATACACACAAATAACACACTCAACAACACACAAGCAAACAAGTCGCAACTTGTTTCGTAAAGAAATGTCAGTTTGATCTTAGCCAGGAACTCTAGCGTTGGCTGACCTTGACACACACTGCTGACGTCCCACACACGCACTGTGTAAGCGCCCGTACATGCTTACTCAAACACATGCAGAATAGCGGGTTCATTGATTTAAGGATGTGTCCGAAAAGTGATGACCTGATAGAAATGCTCTCACCGTCTCCCCTCTAGAGGACACAGGTAGAGAAAGTGGTTCCAAGCCAATATTGTCCCAGGAGTGCAGGGCAAAAAGGTCAGGGTTCAGAGCTCCCTGTCTCCATGGGAACCACCAGCACCATGTCAACACACAAGTGAGTCTCTATTGAAGTCTGTAAGATGAACAATACTGTATTAAATGACAGCTAGACCTTACTAAAGACAATTTTAGAACTTTTATGCCTCATTTACAGAACATAATGTACAGATACTGTACATAAAGTCAGACAGATTGGAGGACTTTCTCCACTTTGCTTATACACTATAATTAGGAGACAAGGTATGCCTCTTGCTGAGATTTGTTCTCTCTTTGTACGGAAATACTGATGTGTCTTTATTTTTCCCTGTTATTGTCTGTCTCCCACTCGGCCTCTGTAATCCCTTCAGGCAAAGGCAACAGTGTGTACAGCAGCAACACACCAAAAAGTAAGAAATTTAAATGGCTGCTTTAAAAAAGATAAGCCTGCTTTTTCCCCGATGCACATAGAAATCACTCTGGCTTGTGTGGAACGGGGTGCCATCGGCAATATTGCAGCATGCTGACAAGTGATAGCTCCCCAGTGTGTCGTAAAGTTAAAAAAAAAAAAAAAAAAAAGTCCTGACACGATACATATTGCAGAAAAAGAGAGAGAGCAGTAAAGAGAAAGAACTATGAAGGGAGGAAGGGAGATGGTGTGGGTAGTGATAAAGGATGCAGTGAGAGAACTGCAGGGGAGAAAATTAGAGATTAAAAGATGGAGAAGAGGAGGGATAGAAAGAGGTGTAGAACTTCACTGTATTGCTACAATCAGCAGCAAACACACCAGTCTGTTCTCTCTCTCTCTCTCTCTCTCTCTCTCTCTCCCCCCTCATTCATTCTCTTACACTTTCCTGCACCCAATACTGGGCTACGGGCCATGGCCTGCCTCGGTTTTCTATCTATATCCCGTAGCACAGCACCCTGGGGGGGGCCTTCATGACTTTGTCAGCAGGAAAACTGGTTGTGTTTACAGGGAAATAAGGAAGACTCTCCTCAGGGAGCTGAATCCCAGGAATTCCTACCTACCAAGCCCTCTGCTGACAACCACACACAATACCCAACTTCACATCTCTTACACAGACTTCAGAGAACGCACGCGCACACATTCAGTGCTTTTGCATAAATAGAGGTGGGAGCTATGGGTATGAATAATGGAGCTGTTTTTAAGATGCTGGGAAGGTTACAGGGAGGTGAGGGTGTACTTTTGGGAGATCAGACTCAAATTTCTGTCCATTCTGTTTCTCACCTTTTTTAGCTCCTCACTTTTCCTCATCCTCCCATTTCTCCACTGGCTTCTGTAGGAACATAACACTTGGGTGATATTCTCGTACCTTAATTTTTGGTAATATACATGCTTTTCTATCAAATCAAGCCATATTTCTTATTAATTTTGACCTCTATCGGTTGCACCTTCTACAGGGCTTAACATACAGTGCCATACTCACCATGTGACATATCATCATGTATTACATTACATACATTCTTCATATATTCATATATACTGTATGTCCTACACATGTAAGCTGTCAGATTAGTTTGTTCAACCCATTAAAATCTAAGTGGATAGTGTCAAATATTCATTGTCTTCCAGCACAACACTAGCTTTTCCTCATGGAAAATAAATAAAGTATGAACGAGTGTGACTGAGTGACACTACTTCAGGCAGGCTGTCAGACACAGTGTCTTGACTGTCTGTGTTTTTGTCTGGGACTCGGCGCTGAGGGCTGAATGTGTGCAACAGTCCTCTCCTCACATCTCCTTTTGTCCTGCTTGTTTTTCTTCCTTTTTTACTTCCTTTTGTTTTTGCTCACATACCTGCTCACCTGTTTACTTTCTCAGCTTTAATTCTCTCTTTCTGTTTCTCCGCTTTAGTGTTATCCAAATAGATGCAGAACATGAATAAGAGGAATTAAATAAGGCATTCATTATTCTCTTTGTTAAAGCTGTTATGTATTGATTTTTTATGTAACTAAACCAGCACAGACAGTGAGAGTCTTCAAGTGCCTTCTGATAATGCAGAATGAGTCCTACATTTATTCTTGCGTCTCCTGTTCTCTCTGTTTTCCTTGTCCCTGTCTGACTGCATACTGTTCACCTTTTCTGTTCTGTAGACTGCTAATGGAAGTATCAGAGGGAGCAGCTCAAGCGTGGTACTGGCTCAAGCAAGCACTTTTGCTGCTGGACAAAACTCATCTTCGGTACAAGACTTGACCTCAACTGACATAAAACCAAGCAAAAAAGTGGAAAACAGCAAGCTGCCTACTTCCCAAAATGTTTCACATCATCCTCCACTGATCCCCTCCTTCCCCTTAAAGAGGAAGCATGAAGTATTTCAGCACCAAAATCCTCACCCTCCTCCACCCCCTAAGATCTACCTAACCAGGCGTCCGCCAAAGTGGGAGCCACCTCGTTACTCCCAAGAAAAGGCAGGGGAAGGGGTTAATGAGTTCAAGAGAGCCAGATCCAAAACTGTCCTCCCTGATCCCTCAGATGTTGCCCCAGAACCACCACGTAAAGTCAGTCGTTCACATGAAACAGGAATCGTTTTAGAGGTACATAAAGACCCATTTGCCCCAGAGCAAACTCGACAAATTTGTCAGAGTAAGGTGCAAGAAAGGTCTCGTAAATCATCTGTGACCTGCAAACCAGTCAAGCACAAGCAGGCCAAATGTGTGCCTGACCGGGGAACAAATGGGCCAAAGGTATTAAATGAGGGGCCTAATGGTGGCGAGCCCCAGAACCAATCCAAAGCTGGCTGTCTGACCGCAGTCCTGACATCTGACATCAGAGTAAAGGATTCTGAGAAGATGAACCCTGACGAGAAGATGCGAATGCTTGAGAAGGCTAGACAGGCCAAGGCACTTGTGCTAACCTTAGTGTATCGAGATGGAACAACTCAGCTAGACCCAGAACAGGTGAGCAGACCTGGGTGACAAATGTCTAGCTTTCACACGCTTGAAATAAGAAAAACATTTTAAATATTAGTTTCAGTTTCTCTCGGCATCTGTAAAGGAAAGAAAAATCTAGCTGTCCCAGCTGTTATAAGACTAGTGTAAACAGTTTCCTCTGGTGGATTACTGCTTCATTAACTGCTTGCTCATGTTAATTTCTCTCTCTGATCCTTAATATAGAAGCTAACTCCACCAGTGTGTGGCCTCCTAGTGCTGATGAAGAACAATCTCGACTGCAGCACACCAGAGGACTCGCTCGGGCCAAACGACTGTCTGGTCTACTTAAAACTGGAGCAAACACCTGCATGGGCCCAGCAACACAAGAACCAGGAGCTCTTTACCAGGTGTGTGTGTGTGTGTGTGTGTGTGTGTGTGTGTGTGTGTGTGTGTGTGTGTGTGTGTGTGTGTGTGTGTGTGTGTGTGTGTGTGTGTGTGTGTGTGTGTGTGTGTGTGTGTGTGTTGGTATGAGAGAATGATAGTAAATAAGGGTGTGAGTTTACAGTACTTCTATTTGTGCTTTTGCATCTATCAAAAAACGGCGTATATATGTTTCGTACGTGTACATACGTAGAGATATGCTGCTACAAGTGATATCAAGGACTCAACTGGTGGTGTGCTATAAAGCCAAGGATTTGCTTCGTACAACTCTGCAGTTTTACAGAAGAGACCTCAACTGGAAACAAGGTAAGCACACATGCATAAATGCACCTACACAGGTAGAAACAAATAAATGCAGTCGTGTGAAAATACAACACTCCCCAACAATAATAAGAACACTTGCAATGGATTTCAGTAATGACAATTCACTATAATCTCCGTATTGAATATTGTTCAGTATCTTAAAGAGCTGTCCTCTCTCTCCAGTGGCAGGCTGTCATATCCAGGACCCACAGGTGTCAGGGTGGCTTCTGGATCCTGCAAATCCCTCCTCTTGTTACCAGGACCTTCTCAATAAACACTGCAAAAGACCCTGTAAAACCCCTGCCCTGGGTACCAAGAAGGTTAGTTAAAATATACATTTCTGGATAAAATAAGGAAAACTTCTCATTAAGATGTCAGGGTCAGCTCCAGAGCCAATCCTTGGCACAGTATGGTTGACGCTGGGACACAGAGGTCTGAGCCCAGATCATTTAATGGAGGAACACACCTGCTTAATAGACAGTGGCTCAAATTTACCTTCAGAAATCTGTCCTTGAAAGGATAGCGAAGCCTCTAAGAGAGTTCACATTGTATGTAAGCAGCCATTCCCTGGTACCTGGACTGCCCATTCTCCCCTGAACACAAGTAATTCCACAATATCTTCTTGCAGAAACCAAGCTGAATATGTTTCTCCCCACCTACTCTCTTTCTTTCCGTCTGTCTCACTGTCAGGTTTCTCAGGTCATCTCAGGTCTCTATTCGCTTCACTGGCTGAACATGGAGCTTTGCTATAAACTGCAGGTTAGTTGACACATACACATACTTGTACATACAGCATAGGCATACTACACATTACCTGAGTGGGTCTTTGTGTGTGCAGAGCCATGGGCTGTGGGGGCTGTACTCAGACATGGAGCTGAATATGATCTCTGTTCTGGCCGGTGAGGACCACTTTGCTTTTTTCCAGTAGACACTAAGCACATATTTTTTATATACAACAATCTTTTTTGGGGGGGTTTCAACCTGATGCAGTGTACTCTTCATGAAGAAATATCCCTGAATAACCACAAAAAAAGGCAAACACATTTCTATTTGGCTACATCAGAGGAATACAGTAGTAGTGTGTGGTAGTGGTTTTTTTTAGGTTTTTTTAAGGCTGTTACTAAATACAATATTACACAAACTTGATTAGATATATTCCATTTTATATATCATTGTTCTTTTCACTTTAACATTAAAATCCAGTTTCTTAATTTCTTAATAATGAGTTACGTGTGCTGTTTCAGCCATGGAGAGCCATTGCATCCATGTGGATAAAGAAGCTCTTAAGAGAACTTCAGACCTGCTGGGGGTAAGACAACACATCAGACACTAAATGTTATGGCTGGTGTATTTAAAAGTTTCCCTATTAATGTTCCTGACAAATAGAGCAGAACAGTTTGACTATAAGACAAGGTTTTCATTTGGCTGCATGCAGAATAGGCAAACTTATCTCTCACAGCCAGGAGTTATTTACATTTCCCTTATGACTAATGTGAATTTCCCACCCGAATACAATAATGGGACAGGAGCAGTCTACATATATACATGTATATAAATATATATAGAAAATGTCTGGAAAGAAAGTGTATGAAGATAATCCTGGACTTCATATCTTGAGCTGACAGTCATATAGACATTAGGAGATAGCGAACTGGACACTGACCAGAATTTTAAAATAGAGTTATGAAATAAGTTAATCCTTTTTTTGAAGAGGAAAATCACACATAGGTAACAGCTGTGTTTATATCGAACAAATTTAATGCAAACACTCGGAAATCGACTTCATAGCTTAGTTTTGGCCTGCGTGTAGGTATGATGTTCAGGGTCAGCTCAGATTTGTACTGCATCACTCTTAACTGATTGCATTTTCGACTGGCTGCTGAACCACAGTGCAGTCGACAGCTGCTGTATTAATACAAATGGGAGCAAAACAGTGGGAGGATATGAGAAACTGAAGGAGAAAAAAAAACTCAAGAGCCTGAAAAGGAAAGAAAAATAAAATCTTTTTCTTCTTCTGGGTAGGATTAGCGATGTGGTGGGTGGACATCCTCCAGGGACCTGTCCTGTTTACATGCAGATAAAAACCAATTCTAGAGACCACGCTTGTGATTATAAACACACAAAGACAGAAATACAGAAGTTGTGGACACACACATGCCGAGGAAGACGCGTATGTTCCTAATCAATTTTGCAGGCGGTCATAGGGACAAACGCACACTCTTAAACCCACTTACAACTCTTGCAGGCGCCAGCAGGGGTGTTGTTTTGGAGAGAGAGTCTTTCGGTATCTTGCCGTGTTACTATAAATAGGATGGAGAGTCTGTCTTCAAGAGGCTGTGCTGCAGGAAGGAGCATCACTGTCTGCTTCTGCCAACACACACACACACACACACACACACACACACACACACACACACACACACACACAGAGGCACTGAAGTTTTTGCAGACTGCTGCAGAGTTATATATGTGTGTGTGCTTGTGTTTTCATAATATGTGCCCATGGGTGCAGCCACGCATGTCCTCACTCTGTCGTGTTCATTTTATCTGAGCTGTCAAGTTCACCTGTCTGAACACCAAACTGAGGATCCCTCCTGTCTGTCAGCCCGCATCTTACAAACATTGCTCACATGCTCTTTTGTCTTCTGAGACAGCATTATTAAAATTCAGTAGGACAAACGTCCTGTCTGTGTGTCTCAGACGTCAGATTAGATAGACATCCTTCCGTAAACACCCATCACGTCAGGATCAAACCGAAAAATGAAACAATAATTAACCCAAAATGTTGCTCTACAATATTAGACTCCTGCCATACCCGCCGTGTGTGTGTTTGTGTGTCAAACACAGTACTAAGGGGCCAGCATCCAATATTGATGAGGCAGTCTGGAGCCTGCTCTGGGCTAAGAGCGAGAGAGAGAGCAAAGTACATATTTTGGAATTTTGGTACATGTCTGCCAGCTCCTCCACTTTTTCCTCTTTTTTATTTTTTTCTGTCTCCTCTCTCTCCTTCATTGCTCTTTCTGCAATTGTCGCTTCTCCCGCCATCATGCTGTCAAATTCTGTGTGTCTAACACATCACTGTTTGCTTCAGATGCCATTTTCTATCCAGGTCCAGCCACAATGTTCCCCACTGCTGCCCAGTCCTCACCTGTTCCTGCCATCCCTTTTCCCATCTTCTAATTTTTTCCTCTCATTCTTTTTCTGTCTACCCACACAAGTATTTTATTCACATTTGAACTTTTTCTTAACCCTTTAACTTGTGTCGGTGTCCGTCCCACATTCCCAAATCTGTCAGTCTTGTCCTCCCCCACCTCTTTTCGGTTGCTTTCTGTCTCTCATTTCATTACCCCCACCTCGCCCTCGCCCTCTCCCCCTCCCTTTTGTTTTTCTATTCTTGTGCCTTCTCCTCTTCGCTCGTTATCCTCTTCGCCTGTCAAGTTGTTAAGAAGTGATTTCTACTTCAGTCAGACTTGTAATGAGCTGCTGGTGTGTCGGTGTCACCCCAGTTGTAAAAAACAAAAATGTTCATGTTTAGGCTGAATATTGTATGAGCGGGAATTACTCTTCATCTTCCTCTTTTATTTTCATCATTATTTCTGTGTCTCTTAGATTTAGCCTCTCATCATTCCTCTTTCATCTTCATTTGTTTTTGTCAAATGTCTCTACCCTTCACTCTTGTCTGTTCTGATTCCCATGCTTTCTTCCCAATTTCCATCTCAAGTGCCTCTTGAATTCCCTTCTCTTGCCGTCGTAGCCTCTTTTTCCTCTCTCCCTTTCTTTTCACCATGCTTTCTCTTCTCTACCATTTTGTGTCCCTTCACTTCCTCCCTCGCTGAGTTTATCATGCTGCCTGTGTCGCCCATCCTGAGAAGCAAAGTTCATTCCGTGTTTGACTGGATTATCACAGCAGTCATTAAACCCTGTCTGGCTCTCTGTGTGTACTTAGTATGTGTGAGCGAATGTGTGTGTGTTCTGTAGATAATTGAGTTTGTATATACATATGGATTTCTTTTCTCATAGGTTGTATGTGTTTGTGAGTGCGTGAAAGTTTGTTATTTATTTCTGTGTGTGTGTGTGTGATCCTAATGCGCTTGCTGTGTGACTGATGTGTGCATTAGACAGATTAACAGAGAGCTTTGCCTTTGGCCATTGAACGTTCTGTCTTACACATAGTAACAGTTCTCTCCTTAAATAACCCCCCCTCTTCACTGCAGGGTTCATAACAAAGTTTGTGATTGATAATTTACTTATCTTGAAAGGTTTTTGGTAAGTTAACAGTCACCAGGCTGCAGAAATAGGTATTCTGTTATTTTGACATAAATACACTGCTGTCTTTTTAATTGGCTTCATATTCATTGAGTGGTTAATCTGGAAAAAGACTGACAAAGACATGAAATACCTCTTCCTCTCGATAAATAATACCTGGCATGGATTCTTTTAATGTTATTTATAAAATTCAGACGTTGAAAACATCATGTCAACTTCATTACTATTTTATATGTCAACTGTCAAAAATTATTGTCATTTTGTAATTAAACGCCTTGAATCTACACATGAACACTGACTTTACAGAAAGGATTAACTACTACCTAGTATGTTCTCAGCAACATGTTGTGTTTTTACCACCATACATGTTACATGACATCCATGGTCCAGTAGAATTAATTTGATAATCTTGCAGGAAATCAGCCACTAATAATGTTGCATAGCAACAGATCTTGTAGTATTAGTAGTTTTAAACTGCTCTGAACGACACAGTAACTGAAGGATGTGTACTGCCTGAACTCTAAATATGTTACTGGCAAATTGGCACAACACTACATGACACTTCTCTCTGTCACTCTGTCTCTCTATCTCTCTTGCTCTCTCACTCAGACTAAGATGAAACAGTTGGAGCAGGAGGCCCACAGAGCAGCTGGACAAATATTTCTGGTCACCAGCAACACTCAACTACGAACAGTGTGTACTTTTATCTGTACATATGTGTACTGCATGCGTGCTTGTGTATGATTTTGCTCATGTATATTTCTATGTATGTGCAGTGCCTTCACATGTGATTGTGTGTGTTCTGTGCAAGCGTCATAATCCCCGTTTAAAACTTTAATGAAATAATAAGTATGACTTTTCCCTTTATTTATCTTTATTGTGTGCGAATATGTATAGTGTTAATGCACACATGTTTTGCACATGTGTATTTGTGTGTATCATTGTTATGGATTTGTAGATATTGTGGATTTACAATGTTTGAAGGTTCTGTTTGAGAAACTGTGCCTCCACAAGCGCTGCGAGAACAAGAAACTCCCAAAGACCATCAACAAACAACAGCAGTCAACATCAGAAGCTGCAGTACGGGCGCACACACACATAAATACAAACATACACAGACACAGATATGTCAATTTTATCTTCAAATCTCGTTTAATTTAAGAAAACTGGCTCAGATTTATTTAAAGTTTCATGAAGTGCACACATTCATACAGAGAAATCCAGATGCACACGCAGAAACACACAATACATATCCTGGCACATCATTGCTTCTTAGTGTCTGATAAACAGTTGGCAAGTACAGTAAGTGCATAGACATCAGTACGATGGCATGCTGCCAACTTATTCTACCCAGCAGTTTGAATTGAACATTACAGAAGGGCAAAAAGGACAAAAAATACAGTTACAACTGATTTAATGTAAACAAAAAATGCAGTTGCAGGGTTGATGATGTACGTTTGCTCAATATTGCCTCTCTTGTCTTTTCTCTGTCTTGTTTTCTTCTTGCAGTTGTTGCAGCTTCAGGACCTGCACCCTCTGCCAAAGATCATTCTAGAGTACAGACAGGTAAACACTCTGCTTAGGAGCTTCAATGTTTATCTCAGTCTTTTGAAGGCTAAAGTATAGTACATGGATAAAGATGCAATAGTAGAGCATCCCAAAGTATTAGCCTTGGTTTTCCAGTAACAGCTGTCTGCATTGCAACCCACAGGTTCACAAAATCAAGTCGACTTTTGTTGATAGGATTCTCTCATGCATGATGAGCAAGGTGAGCATACAGCTGTAAACTTACTCACACATTCACCAAAAAGGATGCCATACAAACGGTGCTACAAACAAGATTCATAACTGTCTAATCCTCTTGTCCTCACTGCGACATATGGATTTTTCTATACTTTTCTCCTTGAGGCTGGAACAACTAAGCAAAAAAGTGAAACCAAGAGTTTAAGGAGGGCTGCAGGGTAGAAGTACGCAGACAGATCTCACAGCGTCTGTGTTTCTTTACTCACAGTTTGGTTCTGTGTTTTATGCTGCTAAACAAACCCATCTTGTTCCTCTTCACCTTCAAAGGTGACGCTGGTGAGATTGTCACCATTATTATACTGCTGTGCTCAGTGCTACAATTGAGAACCACAGAGTAATGCTGTAGGCTATTCATACTTGTAAAAGTGCATACTGCAACCTCTAAATGTGTGACTGCACCAACCCTACAGCAGAGAGCACTCACAGGCCTGGATGCTTCTGTTGTAGTAATTTAATAGTGAAACATCTCGTCTGAGCTGGTCTCTTTAAGCTGTTGGTCCTGTTTACAGCCACTGCTGTACTGAATTGGCAGAGAAAAGATGCAGCTCTGTGTCCGACTGTCCCTCCACATGGGTTTCGTTCGCCTCTGTATGGGAGCAGCAGCTTGTGTTTGTCAATCTGTGCTTACTCAACTCTGCAAATGAGTCTGTCTGGCTGTCTCTAGAGCTGCTTGGCTTCTGATGCTTGTGATTCATTTGGTGGTCTTTAGGACAGAGTGGACAACAATCCCAGCTAGAGGATGGTACTGTTGACAAAAACAAATATTAATTTGTTATTCGTAACTCAGATATCAAACATGTGGTGGTATTTTGCGTATGAATAATGGTAATTTTTAATCTGTAAACTAACTGAATTTAAACCAGCTAAATCCACACACTGTTAATTTCCATCAAAATTGGTATTGGAAAATACTTTTCTCTATCTCCCAGCTCTACTTTTAGCAACAGACAGCAAACAATCTGAATATGTTACTACTGAGTATTGATTAATGTTACTAGGCAAGACAGCACACCAGAATTTGTAGTCATTAAATGAATAATTTACATCTCAACTCAAGAAACCAATTAATCTCCTGCCACCTGTGGGACATCAGTCACTGTTGACCGTAGTTTCCTCATTTGTCAGGTTAATTAGTTTGGCTGTAACCATATGTTGGGGTTGCACAAATTATCATCAGCTCTGAGCACAATAGCGTTGTTGCATGCCCTGCTTATTGCACCGACTTAACTGGCACTACAGTCTACAGACAGCTTGTTTAAACCGTCGTATGGCACTGTTGATGCATGTCGGTCCAAAAGCAGATTCAGAGTGGAGATGGCAACGAGGATCACAGCTGTTGTTTTCGAGTTGAATTGGATAGGAATCAGCTATATGGAAACATTACTGATCACATAGATGACTCATTGAAACATGAAAATGATGAAATAAAAGTATTTAATTGTGGTTTGCCTCTAAATATTGATGTCTTTGTATCTCTGCCTTTCTCAACAACACATCAGAGCTACATTTCCCCTACATGGTACCAGACAAGTGTGGTGACCGGGAGAATCTCAGCCAAGAATCCAGTAAGTATGACCTGCCTTCCATCTCTACACACCTCCCTCTGTCTTCTTTGTCTTTTTTTTGTCTTTGATCTTGAAACTAGTTATTATGGTTGTTAAGTGGAGTTCAGATACTGGAGCTATCCATGGTGCTGAACTACAGGCTGAACCTCTGGGTGTTGTTTGCTGTGCTCCAGGCCTCAGGTCATGAGCCTGTGCATGCCTACAATACTCAACAGGCCACGTTAAAATGACTAGAATGGAAACAGATGGATGTGAGTGTATTTATCAGTTAAAATTACTCAAGTTAATGGCATGCAATGAACCTGTACAACCCAGGTTCATTTTAACTCAGGCAGAGAAGGGATTATTGGTGACAGCTAATGAAATAATAAGTAAACAACTCTTTGGTTCACTCTATAAGTACCCGCTTGTGTTTACCACACAAATATCTTCTGTTTGTTTGTGAGTAAGATCAACATAATAAAACAAAAAGAGACTGTCTGGGTTTTCAACACTGTATGAAACAGCGGATCCTTTATATAACCTTCAAAAATCTCAATATCAATGTTTTCTTTCTCTACTTTCTTCCTTTATAATCGCTCTTTCTTTGCCCGCCTATCTGTCCTTTTTTCTTGGTTTCTTTCTTGCTCCACATCTCCCTTATCAAATAGATCCTTTGATGATGCTGGCTGCATAGTAATTAAACACACACACAGTATGAGGTTCCTCCTTACAAATGTAGATGTTGCGATTTTGGAGTGTTATATAACAACAAGCTGGGGTTTCGTTCAGTTTGAAACCATCACAGTGAGAACATTTTGTCCAGTCCTCACTGCTTGTTTGAAGGTTGATGAGAGTTAGGGGACGTGTTTGGTTTTGAAGGCAGAAAGTTACCAATTCGGTTGTGTTTCGATGCCCTTGTGTATTTGTATGTTTAAAATCAATTTGCTAAAACTTAAGGATAGCCAGTTTACTCCAAGATATGGCACTGAGGTCATAGATTTTATCGAGCTCCTAATGACTGAAGAACAACTCATCACACAGTACAACAGAATAATGTAAAGCCTGCTACCATATGAGGTCAACTCTCAGCTATACTGTTTTATGATTAGGGTTTCACTGAAATTGATTTTTTTGTGCATATTCTCACATATCAATATTCAGTATCTTTATATTTACAAATACAAACATTCAGTGTTTCAGAAAGCTTTTAAAACAACATTTAGAAAATCTAAAACAGCTATTTGATGGAAAGGGTATCATGAGATAGATGTTTTACATTTGAATTGAGAAGCTGTTTGCAGCCAAAAGGTAAAATGTTATTGTAAGTAGTACATGCAGTACTCTGTGAAACGCAGACACAACGAATATCGAAAAACAGACCACTAAAATGCTTTGTCTCTTTTCTACTTGTCAGCTTGGTTATCACCTTCTCTCTCTCATGCTCTCTCTCTCTCTCCCTCCCCTCAGTATGGGACAGGCGGTCAATAGCTCATTTCGACGTTACCCAGCCGTCAGGGTCCAGTGGTTCTGTCACTGAGTACTGCTCTGAACCTCACACACACACACACACACACACACACACACACACACACACACACACACACACACACGCGTATATAACCGCAGAGACACTGAGCCTTTCTAATCTCACTTAGCGATTTGCAACCGGTGTGAGCTACACTTTGAATTGATCGTTCTGCTACTGCATGATATATGTGGCAGTTGGGCATCTGATTTAACACAGCTCTGTTCCCTCTGCTTCTAACGGCAGTTCTGGGATTTGGTTGAGCGTCACATTAAGTGTGTGGATGCTTGTATCTAGTTGTTTGTGTGTAGCTGTACTGGTGTGTGCTTCCCAGTCTGGTCTTTGACGTGTATATTATTGTGCTATATTTGTGATTTGAGTTCAAAGGAAAAAGAGCTGATTGAGCTCCACCCGCATTGTTCGATTTGTAAAAACTTTTGGGATGATTTGTTATGGGATGGTTGAATGGTAAAGACATATATGGTATACAGTTACAGCACTATCCCCAGTTCAGTTATGGCCAGTAAAGGCTAAAAATGCCAAAAACATCTTTAAAAAGGTTTGCTATTATTGAATTGCTGAAGAAATGAGTAACCCAAATACTTACTTACTTACGTCCCGTATACTAAGCGATGTTATGGGAAGTCGTGATATAATATATTCTTCTGAGGTAGCAGGTGGAATGACGTCACTGCATGATGCCCTCTAAATGACAGAAGTTGTTCACATTTACTGGTTCTCTACTGCAGAATATGTCAATTAGTTCTTATGTTCAAAATTAACTTAACAGATATCTAGAGTTGAAATGGTTCCTGATCCTGAATCAGTTTTTTTAAGCCACCATGCTACACAAAAGTCTCCGGTTTCAAATGTGCAAATGAATGCAAATAAAATATGCGAAAATGATAGCAGCATTATACTAATAGATATTTTAGATTATTTTGGTTATTCTGTTAACATTTAAACCTGAGCAAAGACCCCAGATCAACATTACTGGCCAACCAGTTTAACAGCAATCCTAAAAAATCCTAGAAATAATGAAGAAAGTGTTCCACAGAGTGTGTGAGTCTCATTTCTTAAAAAATGTTCAGTTTAGTCTGTGACAGCATGGAGAGAAACTCTGCTGCTTGATTGATTAGAATGAGGCGATCATTTCACCATTATAGAGCCAGGAGGGAGAAGAGTCAACTCCCTGTAGTGCTTTTTCCATATTATTATTATTCTAGCATATAAATGAAGTTCACTCGTAATTATTCACATCATAATGTGGAGTGGAATGTGCCGGTAGTTAATTGAAGACTCACTCAGTGATCACATGTCACATCCCGGTGCTTTGAAGGGAAAAAGCTGCAGTTTATAGTTTTGGGGTTGAGCTGTTCTCTCACTCACTCTGCACACGCACATACAGTTATTACACGCACGCATATTCAAATGAGGTGTGTTGCAGAGGGGTTTGGCTTTCATCTGTGGTGGGTTCAATTGAGGTGAAGCCAGACTGCAGTAACAAAGGGGTGCCTGAATTAAAGCAGGACAGCCATGAACTGGTGCTGAGTTAAAAGTGCTGCACGAAGTGAGTCTCACTGCAGAGAGAAAGTGGGGATTTTCTATTTTACCTCATCTGTTTTTATCTGATAAAAACAAAAATATGTCTCCCATTCCTAAAAACCTATTTTCGTTTCAAGGCAACAATCCCATTTTGGAACAAATCAATTCACCAAATTTAACTATCTTTTTTTTTGTTTGTTTTTTTTTTATCTACTCATCCTGCCCTCCTGCACATGTGAGGATTTCCACTGTGTTCATCCAGCTGTAGTTTCTGAGGGCTGTGAACACCCACCCTGGGTTGAAAATATTAAAGCTTTACATTTAGATTTGGTGTTGTTACTGAGGAGTGGGTCTGACTCTCCTTCATAGTTAAGTAATTTCCCCACGGGATTATTAAAGTATATCTGATTCTGATTCTGATTCTAAATCAATCAGTCAACATGATTCTCAGTCTTACAACCATGCTTTTTCTTTTTATGGAGTATTTATTGAACTGATATTATGAGTTATGGGAAATTGTGGAAAGTAACATTTACTCAATACTGTACAAGTAGAAGTATAAAGTTGCATAAAATGGAAATACTAAAGTACCGTATTGAGTAAATGTTACTTAACGGTATAAATATGTGACGTAAATACATTTGAAAATATATAATAAATAATAAACACATGAGAGAAAATACTAAATATGGGACTGGGTATTGAACTATAAGATTTTCTAATTCCAGAACAAAATGTGTCTGCATCACCGAGTATCAAAAAGTATACTAAAGTATGAAAAGCTGGTATATTTTTTGGAGCAGCAGCTGGAGACTGAGAGGAAACTGTTTTCTACAGATATCTGAGCCAAACACAGCACCAGTATGATGAAGAATAAAGGCTGAAAAAATATTGTACCCTTTTCTAACAACGAAAGTTCAACCAGTAAAAATAAGATCAACACGTATTGTGTTTCTCAAAACAGACATTAGTTGCTTCTTGGACTGTGAGGAAGAGAATAAAGCCCTGACACAAAAACAAGATTGTTGGCCCCTGAATACAGAAAAAACACGCCTTTAAGAGCAGTTAAAGTTGCCTTTACTATTTGACCACCACCACAGGCTGAAATAGAATATAAAAAAGTTAAAGATCTTCCCTTCAGTGAAAATTATAATACCATCCCAATTTTCCATATATATTGATATTTATGAAAAAATACTATAAATATTTGTGTGGTTATTGTATTTTTATTTATTTATTTAATTCTAAACAGTTTCACAAATCATGTTACGAAATAAAAGTAGTAAACTAGTAACATTCTTGCTTGTCAAGTTATATAAAATATTAAATTTTCATTTTTTAATAGATCTGATTGTGCGCCAGTCCGGATAAATATTATGTCAATTTCATAATATTTAAAGACCAACAAAATGTCTTTGAAAGGTTGTTTTGTTTTGTTTTGTAGATGGAATACAATGGAAGTTAGTTTCCACTGTCATTAACATACAATAGATGTGAAATATCATCTTTTGTATTAAAACAATGGTTGACTAATAGCAGCTCATTTTTAGTCTCATTCTCTTTTTTCTCTCTCTCCTCCTCTGCTTTTAACTCTATATACTCTAATACGCTATTTTCTTCTTCCTCTTCATGCACTGATCCCTTCATGTCTTCCTCATTCTCCTCTTCTCTACATGATGCTTTATTTCTGTTCTCTTCCCCTCACATTAACATCATTAATAGTGTGGCAGTGAAACCAAAGAGCACAAATAAGATTCAGCTCCTTCTTCCTTACTTCCTCTGACTCGTCGTAGCACCGATGAGCTGAAACAGCATTCAGATTGCCGGGTCCTTGATGCAGTACTCCACCTTATATCATCTGCTCTCTCTCTTTCCCTGTGCACTGTTTAGCTTGTGCCGGAGTCCTTTGTGGTGTTCAAAGATTTATACACTCATGACACCCACAAGT